ACCAGCCCCTTCACAACCTTTTTGAAATACTTACTGGAACACAAATAAGAAGGATAATCTGAAAAGACACACTGGCTAGTTAATTTGAAAAACATGGCAGCTAATTCCCTAGATTCACTTTTTTGCTTCATAATATAGCCCAAACTGGGTGCTAGAGTTGTGAACAATCTGGAAATGCCAATAGGCTGAAACAAAACTAATCTCTTACCCCTAAAGCCTGCTCTTTGTAGACAAGGGACCAGAAAACAAGCAAGACAGAGAATATTTAATTAATAACCACCTGTGCAGAAAATTTAACCTAGGATGCATGAGCCCACTCTTCTTAGAAAGCCTGTTTGTAAGGCTATCCATTGTCTGGCATCTGGGAACTTCCTACGGTTCCTACGCAGATGAAACTTTTATAGGCACTTATTGTGCCTAGCCTGGTTATAAATAATGTGGCTTATGCTACACATCTGCCTTCCTTCTGGGAGCCTTGAATTTTAGTATGTTAAGCATTGAGTACCTATATGATAAACCCTCACCTCCCCACCAAAGACTACCATGGGCGTTGTGTCTGTAATGAGCTTCCCTGGTGAATACACTTCATACCTGTTGCCACAGTTCACTTTTGAAAAAATGATGTGAATCCTGTGTGATTCCCGGGAGAGGACGCAATCATGTGCCTGATTTCCTGTGGACTTCACTCTGTAGGGGCTTTTTCCTCTGCAGGTTTTGTTTTAACCTTTCACTTTCATAAAATGTTGGTGAACTGTATGTTAATGCTGAGTCTATGAGTCCTCATAGTTAATCATTCAACCTGAGTATACTTGACAACCCCTGGCACACCGCCTTAATCCAACCCAATACCACAGAAACACCGGTGATCCACTCCCTCCTGTCAGTAGTAGCTGAAGAGGAAGCCTCGATTTGCACCCTTGCTCAGTTCTGAGGTGCCCCAATCCCTGCAAGAGTTAGTGAGAAGCACTTATGGGGCACCTCTCTCCCTCCCAACCAGGACAATATCAGTGGAGGCCTAGAGGGGATCCTAATCTCCCACTGCTGCCCAACAGGAATGAGGTGTGTTTGCCCCAAACCTAGGTTGTCAAAGGAGGCCTACTGGCGAACATGGGTTTCCTCTTCAACCAGGCAGTTTGAAGGTGCCATCTCCATTTCCCTGCCAGCTGAATATCAGAGAAGGCCTACCAAAACAGTATGTTTCAATAAGATGAAATATCTTAACATAAATCCCCAGATGTGTAGGATACAATTATTTTAAAATCAAGTTTAAGAGATCACATGGCCAGCGCCACGGCTCACTAGGCTAATCCTCCACCTAGCAGCGCCGGCACACCGGGTTCTAGTCCCGGTCGGGGCGCCGGATTCTGTCCCGGTTGCCCCTCTTCCAGGCCAGCTCTCTGCTGTGGCCAGGGAGTGCAGTGGAGGATGGCCCAAGTGCTTGGGCCCTGCACCCCATGGGAGACCAGGAGAAGCACTTGGCTCCTGCCATTGGATCAACGTGGTGCGCCGGCCGCAGCGCGCCAGCCGTGGCAGCCATTGGAGGGTGAACCAACAGCAAAAAGGAAGACCTTTCTCTCTGTCTCTCTCTCTCACTATCCATTCTGCCTGTGCAAAAAAAAAAAATCACTTATAAACTGTGTGTGTGTATGTGATATTTACTGAATACATCCTATGGTGCTATGATCTGCTAAAATTTTAGTGTGAATTTCAGAACTTTCCTGGATGTCTATAGTCATAAAAATTGTAATCATTCACTGAACGGTATTACTCCATGCATAGTATGTACTTTGTTATTATTTAATAGTCATTATTCCTTCATTCTGCATATACTTATTGAACTGCTACTTTAACCAGCATAATTCTAGGCTTTGAAAATATATTGGTGAATAAATTAGACATGCTCTGTTTCCTTATAAAATGTACAATATGGTGGATGAGGCTGCCACTAAATAGTATCGCCAAGAAAGCAACAATTACAGATTGTGTCAAATTCTGACAACTGTAACTAATACTTTAGTTAGCACTGTGGTATAGTGGGCTAAGCCTCTGCCTGTGGTGCCAGCATCCCATAAGGGTGCTGGTTCTACTCCCAGTTGCTCCTCTTCTGATCCAGCTCTCTGCTGTAGCCTGGACAAACGGTAGAGGATGGTCCAAGTGCTTGCACCACTGTACCGGTGTGGGAAATCTGGAAGAAGCTCCTGGCTCTTCGCTTCAGATTGGCTCAGCTCTGGCTATTGTGGCCATTTGGTGAGTGAACCAGCAGATGGAAGACTTTTCTGTCTTTCCTCTTCCTCTCTCTGTCTATAACTCTACCTCTCAAATAGATAAATAAAATCTTAACGAATAATAATACTTTAAAATACCCATGTGTGTTTGTCATGAGGCAGGGCTTCCAGACTATCCTGTTGGATGATGTGACCAGTCCTCTGGACTGTGCAGGACAATCTTCCCAGGTCACCTCCAAATGCTATAGGACAGATGGTAAGAGAATACCCATTCACAGCTTTATTCCCATATGTCAGCTCAAAGAAGCTACAAAACACATACCTTTACTCATGCTACTCCCATAAGATTTATGGGTTACTTCTCGAGGGTGGAATGTTAGATCAGACCAACATGGGGAAAATGGGAAGTTCGTGTCATTGAATGAAGGAAGAAATATAGAAGTCTGCCTTGGAAGCAGCATAGCATATGCATGTCAAATGCCCAGCACATGCCCAATAAACTTGTAGGTGAATCCCAGCCCTCCCCTGGTGATATCTTGGGGGAATCTTGCCAGCCCAGTGCCAGGAGGTATTATTAAGTCTAATAACACTGCCTTGATAAAGCCCTAAGAGGAATTTCATGAGTTCCCTGCCCAGAAAGTCCTCCGTCCAGCAAAATTCCAGAAGAGGGAGAGGGAAGGAGAAACACTGGGTCCATTAAGCTTCACTAGTCTGCTTACTGATAAAAAATCCATCTGTGAGAAGAAAGGGTAGTAGCTAGATATTAAGATACCATAGCGTGTTTATTACCAAAGGGAATAAAATACAAGAGCAAAAGAAAGGGATGGGGATAGTAGACTTAAGAGAAGCTTCCCAAGGAGCCAGGACAAAATGTATAAGTTTTGGTTTCAGGTAGAAGGCAGCTGCCTTAATTGAAACAGAAACAAGAGAAGTGAGGATGAGTGCAGATATAGATTGCTTTGTAGATTGCACGGTTTGAACAGGAATTGCCAAAATATGAGACAATATCATCTGCCTAGAGAGCAAGCATGTAAATTGGGTGGTCTGAGGGCTGAAGAGGGGAGAGGTTTTAAATAGCTATTTTGGAAAAGCAAGCTGAAGATAACACTAATAACTTGCCAGCCTTAGTTAAGAGCCTGTAGAATCTGTCCTATGGGGCAGATTCTAGCCATTTTTAGCTCCTTGATTGCAGGCAATGAAAAGGCAAGGGAGTAGGTATTAGAAGAAAGTGCTGTAGTGAACTAAATTTTAAAAGAGAAAGAAAAAGACTGCCTTCCATTTGGGAGGAGAGGGAATGCTGTATGAAGAAAATAGATGTGATCTGGGGAAGAGAAGGTTATTGTTCTAGGAGAAAAAATATCCTGAGAGAAAAAGGGAATAGACGGGTCTGGGGTAAATGGGAAAAAAGCCAGATAGTGATAGATTTTTGACATAGGATTAGCAATGTCTTTTTGTCTTTCAAACAAAACATAATTGTATATAGCAGCAGTTTGTCACCTGATTTTGTGAAATTGGTTCTATATTTCTTTTAGTCTCTTAGACCTGACCAACTATCTATGCCTCAGGCATCTCCAGCATTTTTAGCTACTGCAGAGATGCACAAGTCAATGACAAGTGTATTACAGGTCTTCAAAAAGTTCTTAGAAAATGTGTATTATAAAAAAATTATGTATGAATCTTAAGTTTATTACAATGAAGCAAACATCTTTTTTTAAAAGATTTATTTTTTTATTTACTTGAAGGAGTTATAGAGAGAGGTAGAGACAGAGAGAGAGGTCTTCCATCCGCTGGTTTACTCCCCAGATGTCTGCAACGGCTGGAGCTGTGACGATCCGAAGCTAGGAGCCAGGAGCCTCCTCTGGGTCTCCCATGCAGGTGCAGGGGCCCAAGCACTTGGGCCATCCTCTACTGCTATCCCAGGCCAGAGCAGAGATGCTGGATGCTGGATAGGAAGAGGAGCAGCCAGGACTAGAAGTGGCGTCCATATGGGATGCCGGCGCTTTAGGCCAGGGCGTTAACCCACTGCGCCACTGCAGGGGCCCTGACAAAGATAACTTTAAATCCTCTGTTATGACTCATAGAATGACAAATGCCCTAAACAGCGCTCTGGCCTCAGAATCAGCCCTTAAGGCATTCAGATCTGGCTAAAAAGCCCCTGAGAGCATTTCAGGCATGGAAAGCCAAGACACTCTGGCAAAAAATGGCCTACATGAATGATTTCTGTCAGTGAGATCCCAGTGGAAAGAAGAGGCCATCAAAGAAGGAGGTACCTTTCTCTGAAGGGAGGAGAGAACTTCCACTTTGCTAATGGCCCTGTCTAAATAATGTCGGAGTTTGTGAACTCAAGAGGCTTCCATAGCCTTGGCAGCTCAAGACAAGAGCCTCGGGTGATCACTGATGTCATAAATGAGATTGTCAATTGTTAAATCAACAACAGGAGTCACTGTGCACTTACTCCCCATGTAGGACCTCCGTCCTTAATGTGTTGTACTAAGGTAAAACTTGTCTTCAAACAGTACTTTATACTTTGTGTGTCTGGGTGCAAACTGTTGAAATCTTTCCTCAGTATAGAGTTGATCTTCTGTATATAAAGCTAATTAAAAATGAATCTTAATGAAGAATGGGATGGGAGAGGGTGTAGGAGATTGGATGATTTGCAGGTGGGAGGGTGGTTATGGGGGGGAAGAACTGCTATAATCCAAAAGTTGTATTTTTGAAATTTTTATTTATTAAATAAAAGTTTTCTATTAAAAATCCTCTTTTACATGAACTGTTTATTCAAAATACTTTGTTAACACGAATTCTCTGAGAAATGCAATTGTGTCACACTTTGGCAATTGTTAAAATTCTCTACACTCCAGTAACACCTAACTCTTTAAACCCCATGCAACATGGTTATCCTACCATTAAAAACAAGAACCTCCCTAGGAAGAGTGCTACATATGTTGAAATTAGTGAAGCTTAAAAAATGCTTTAGCTGGCGGTTGGTGATTAACAAAACAAGCTACTTTTATCACAACAGCAAAAACAAAGTGGTCAAGCAGCTGGTTGGCAAGTGAACAAAGCAAGGAAGAGATTGGACTGAAAATCTGGATTTCTTGGTGGTTTTTTGTTTTCTCTTTCATTTTGGTTTGACTACTAATATACAAATATTTTTAATTTGGGATTTTCTTATTTTTTTTAGCAAGATGCTTGAATTTTTTAAATTGGCAGGTATAATTGCATTACTAGTACAGTGAGAAATTATCCAACGAGGGAGGGAAGGAGAACTATTAAGACACAAAACTTGGCTCTTTGCTTCCTTTCCATCACTGCCAAGAAACAAACATGAATCAGTTACATCACTGTCAAGTAGAAGGAAACATACAGTAATTTAGGGACAAGGGCACAGTCGAGGACAATATCACAATCAGGGTTTCCTTTCCTTTTCAAAATTCAAGTTTTGCTTGGCTGTGTACACACTAGTCCAGTGGGCAATGGCTTTTCCTCCTCTCTTCGTAACAGTAAATAATGCCAGTAGGGAGTTCGCTGTATGGACCAGATGAGGACTGATCTGACTTTCCTTTAAAATCTGGAATTCCTTTGTTAGCTTCGGTCTTCGTCTCTGCTTGCCTTTGGAGGGATGAGGGCACGGAGGTAATTGTGGGTGGGTGGAGACAGGATACAAGGCCCTACCGTCATCTCGATCACAGCTGTCAAATGAGATGTGCATCCTTGGTTCTGAGTCACTCAGGCTTGTCCTTTTCTTTTCCTGACGCACCACTTTCCCCTTGGATTGCGTAAAATTCTAAACCCTTCTAATTACTACTGTTGGTGGTCCTTTGGGCAACCTGGTCTGCTCGTTCGGAACATGATACAGCGACAGGAGTCCTGGTCCCCGGTCCCGTGAAGATCTCAGCACACCTGGACAAGCTAAACCACCTTCCCCACCCAGTTCCGACTCCGCCCAAACAAGAAAGGAGCGGTCCGCCGCGCCCACTCAGCTGGGCGCCCACTGGTGCGCGCATGCGCAGAGCCAGCACAAACCGGCGCCCACGCAGGCATCTTGGGTGTCTGCAGAAAGGTCTGTCTCGGAAAGGCCTAGCTTCCTCGTCGCCTTGTACATGTACAGAACGCTAGAGTGGACAGGATGAAAAACACGGAAAAGAACCCTTCTGTCAACATCGCATTTCCGTCTCAAACCACCCACTTCCGCTTCCTCAGCCGGTTCCGGTCCCGCCCTCTACTTCCGGTTGCCTTCGGTTCCGCTGCGGACGGTCCCTACGTCTGCTGCCGCTGGTTCCGCTCCAGGTGAGGGGATGCAGGGCACCCCGACCCGCTGCCGGCGGTGACGCCATTGGGGCTGGGTGGTTCCGGCTTTGCGGTTCATCGGCGTGGCCTGCACCGCGGCTCTCATCGGCGTGTTGGAGGCCGTGTCTGCCGTAGTCCCACCCCCAGGCCCCTGGCTCCGGCCCGCTGGTGGCCGAGGCCGTCTTCACTTCAGGCTTTCTGGCCTGTTTCGGGGCTCCCCTGCGTTCTCGTAGGCTTTGTGCCCTTAGCGTCATTTCTCTTGCTTGTGGAGCACGGCCGTCTCTCCCCTGACCCTGCTTGTGGAAGGCATCCCGGCCCTCTTGGTCCTGGAGCCCGTGCCGGCCCTGTGATGCTGTCCCGTGCCAATCACTTCGCCCAGCTCTGTCCTCTGCACCACTTCGCAGTTGCTACAGTTGTCCTGCTCTGGCTGGGAGTGGACAGTTCCTCACAGTTAACCTCTTCTGGGCGATGAAGTTAACCCCACCCCTTCCGCTTTACTTTCCAATTTCCGCCTTTGCTACTTTTTCGTAGTGTGGTCTTGGGCACGTTAACTTCTCTTTCAGGTTTCCAAAGTGTGTAACAGTAGTTGTTCAGTTCAGGCTTTCGAGGATCGGATGAGATAATTCAGTTAAGTGGTTTAGCATGCTGTTTTCTCACCATCACCATTTGCATCGTTGCGGACAATTGACAAAGTGCTGTCACACGTCTTATTTCACACTTTGACACTGTTACTGTCCAGTAAATATTAATAGCCGGGTCTTGTGGTTGAGAAAACTGGGTACAATTCAGGAGCTGACTAGGTCAAGGCAACACTGTATGTTAGGCATAGGAACTGCAGCCGGAACAACTGCACTCAACTCTAGTTTGCATGCTTTTTTGGGGTTTGATTGCCGTCCTTACTGCAGTCGTTTTTCAGTTTATAAATTTCAATGGAGTCTGAAATGATACAAAGTAAGATTGCTTGGGAAAGAAGTTTAAATATGAAAATAAAACAGCTCATGCATTTATATCCTGCTGTGCCGTTGATGTGAATGATCCCAGAAACAGTGAGGAACCAGTTGAGGTTCAGCAACTTTTAAAAAAAATTTTTTTTAAAGATTTATTTATTTGAAAAGCAGAGTTGCAGAGAGGCAGGGGCAGAGAGAAAGAGGTCCTCCACTCCCCAGTGGCTGCAATGGCCAGAGCTGCGACGATATGAAGCCAGGAGCTTCTTCTGGGTCTTCTACACTATTGCAGAGACCCAAGGCTTTGGGCCATCTTCCACTGCTTTCCCAGGCCATAGCAGAGAGCTGGATCAGAAGTGGAGCAGCCGGGATTTGAACCGGTACCCACATGGGATGCCAGGCACTGCAGGCGGCAGCCTTACCCGCGAGGCCACAGCACTGGCTCCATCAGCAACTTTTTAAAAACAGCCTTAAGTACTTATGCATTTAAATTTTTGAGATTTTTTTTTAACGCTTGATCCTTTAGTACATTTGCCAACTGGGAATCCCCATGTATGGCACAGGTGCTTTATAATGTTTGGGTGCTGCTTTATAAAGCACAAAGACCTACTCCATCTGGCACATTTTCTTTTTTAAGGCTGAGAACATTGAAGAGCCCAGAGCAGTGGCTCTCAATTTTTAGCATGAATCAGAGACGGGGGTGGGGCTTGTTTAAAACACAAATTGCCAGGTGCCTTCACCACCGATTACATTTCTAACAGCTTGCCCAGTAAAGATGATGCTTTTGGATCGTCCAGGGTCCATACTTTGAAAACGACTAGTTGACACAAGAAATGATCAAGATTACCTGAATTCCAAATTCTTAACTCTGCCCATTTCAGTTAGTGTTGGTTGCTTTCATAAAGCTTGTAAATTATCATTTTGATTTCCACCTTTTTCAAACAGATATTGTTTTAAGTCTTATTTAAGTTTGACTCAAAAATCTATTTGGCTTTTTATTGAAGAGCATTAATATTTGTTGGAGCCAGTTCTGTCTAAAATGGAACACACTGCCCTAAAGTACCACACTTTGGTTAAAGTTTTCAGTAGAACAGGTTGCAAACATAAGAGTAGTTATGAATAATAATGGCCATGTTAGATACTTTGTTGTCAAATTATTTTTGCAAACTGAAACTCAAACTTTGCCTTCTCTTGCAGTTGGTCATGATAGTTGCATGAAGAGTACAGGCAAATGTTTCATCAAATAAATGAAAGCATTTGAGAATGCTAATACTTTAAGATTGGAAAATGCAGTTCTCTGACGTGGGGGAGAGGGGCAGAAGAGTGAGTGAAAAGTGAAAGCTGTGGGGGGAAGATGCTCAGCATTTGATTGCTGATGAGAGTAGCAGTTGCCATATAATCTTTTTGCCTAGATTTGTGCTTGTGGGTTTTGTATTTACTGATCTTTGATACCTTGATTCTTGTAGGTCCAGTTTGAGAGACAGTTGTGTAGGAGAAGAAAAGAGGTTTAGTTAGAAGAACTGAGTCCATGAGTAGATTACCTAGCTTTTCAAAACTTCTGTTTCTTTAATTGTGAAAGAGGGAGCACTCTTATCAAACCACTTTGTTAATGAGATTGTCTGTGTAAAAACTGTCCAGGTCATAAAGTATCAAATACTGGCTGATTGTTGTTTGTTTAGCATAGTACCTGGAACATAATAAGCTTTCAGCTTTCAACTTAATTTTACTAATACATATGTAATACTGTGTGCGCAACACTGTATGACTTACAAATATTAACCAAATTAATCCTCATAGGAATCCTAAGAGGTAAGTAGTAGTATCATCTCTTTTACATATGAGGAAATGCAGACACTAAGGATCAAGCTAGCTTCCCATGATTAAATAGCTAGTATGGGAAAAAGCTGAGATCTGAACCCAGGTAGCCTGGCTTTTAGTGACCCTACTACACTACTTTTCAAATGTTCAACCTGCTGGCTGGTCATCATGAAGGATCTTGCTGTTAGCATAGATGTAATTAAATAAAATAGGTGGGATATGTAGCTCATTATTGCTCCTTTCTAGTGGAATAATGGAGAATCTGATAAAACCTTGGGAAGTAGTAATACCTTGTAGGCCAAAAATTGGAAAGTGGGTAACTTTTAACTTTGTAAGGACAAAAATCATGTTTCTCCACCATCAAATTGTAAAACAGGGCTTAAACTGCATGTTTTTATAAAACTAAAGTTACAGGTTTGATTCTGTTTATCTGTTTTATCTTACTCATTTGCATATGCATTTCCTTCTAGGTATTTCTCCTGAAGGAAAGGTGCTAACTCATATGCTTCCAGAATGGCTCTTCCTATCATTGTGAAATGGGGTGGACAGGAATATTCCGTGACTACGCTTTCAGAAGATGATACTGTGCTGGACCTCAAGCAGTTTCTCAAGACCCTTACAGGGGTGCTGCCAGAACGCCAGAAGTTGCTGGGACTCAAAGTTAAAGGTAATTCTCTCACCACTTCAAATTTTTGCATTGATATTTATGGATTTTCTGTTTGCTGTTTTCAGTTGTTCTCTTGTCTTTTCCTTTGGAGATTTCTTTGGTAGGGTTAGTCTCCTAAAATTGCTTTAGTGGTAAAAGTTAGAACGTTAAAGGTTACTTCAAAATACTCTCGCTATTAAGATTATTGTTGATTCCTCTGACACTTTGTGTTTGCTTGTTAAACCTTTGGCATGGATATCCCTGATGAAACTGTCATTTATTTTCTGACATTTACTTTTTAGCACAGTGTTTTCATTATAGATTGCGTTTTGTGTTCTTCCCAAATTATCTTTCCCAGTTCAAAAGTAAAAGTGATATTTAAAAATTATAGACAGTGTTTACATCTAGCTTTTAAAAGGGACTTTTATAGTGTATGCATTTGTTGCATCTTTGAAGGGTGAGTTTTGAGTAACCGTAAATCTACACTTTTGTCTTGGGCATTCAATTCTCAAAGCTTCCTGGAGAACAGTTTTCTTCATCTTGAACGATAAAATAAACTATTAGTTTATTTTGTTGAGTAAAGGTTGTGTTCTAAGATGGAAAGGGGGGAAAAACAGTCCTTGAATTAGTTGCAGTTTATTGGTGTCTTGGATATGGACAGTTCAACAACAACAGAAAAAGAACGGTTATGGCATCTGTACCAGACCTTTTAACGTTAGGGTTTTGTATAATGGAATAGTGAAACCAGCACCTGAACTTTAGTGAGAAAACAGTCATTTGCTTGTATTGTAGGCAAACCTGCAGAAAATGATGTTAAGCTTGGAGCTCTCAAACTGAAACCAAATACTAAAATCATGATGATGGGAACTCGTGAGGAGAGCTTGGTAAATGTTTACTTTTGTTACCATTTGTCCCTTTAAAGATATGATTTATAGTACACTGTTGTATCGTAGTTTTGATTTTTATAAAGTTGTCAGTGAAAAATAAAAGCTTCACAGTGATTATGGTATTAACTCAGCTGAAAATGAGTACTGGGAAACTTTAGTATATAGTTAGCTGTAAGTATGGTAGTAGCTCACGTGGTCAAATTTAACATGGTAAATCTGTCCAGGGGACATATATAATGAGTTATTAATTGTGGAAATTTTCACACAGTGTGTGCTTGCAAGACACTTGAATTCGAATCGTACCTCACTCAGTATTGTTATGCATATATTCTGTATATTAAAGATAATGTGGTAAAACAAGAACTTTTTTCTATCTTGATAGGAAGATGTCTTGGGTCCACCCCCTGACAATGATGATGTTGTTAACGATTTTGATATTGAAGATGAAGTTGTTGAAGTAGAAAATAGGTAAGCATTTCACTTTAGAAGAGGTTGATTGTCCGTGAGAAAAAGTGAATGTTTCATCTCACTTCATTTTTTTCATCAGGGAAGAAAACCTCCTAAAAATTTCTCGCAGAGTGAAAGAGTACAAAGTGGAAATTTTGAATCCTCCTAGGGAAGGGAAAAAGCTTTTGGTACTAGATGTTGATTACACATTATTTGGTAAGTCAGTTAATCTTGCATTTCATCTTCTGTTATCTATAACAAGTTTTAAAATTTTATTTCCATTTCCCAGCAACTCATGAAATACTTGAAAAGTTTTCTTACCATTACAAATGAATCGTTGCAGATAAGCAAAAAAAAGAAGGCATCTATAAACTGGGACCCAAAGATGACTGCTCTTTATTGTTTTGATGTATGTCTTTTAGAATGAGTTTGTATCTCCTTTTTCTTTTTTAGTAATAGAGTTAATGTCTTTTTAGTCATAAAATATTTGTTGTGAATTAAACATATGTACATTTAACCATATAATATCCTAGCTTGCGGATGCACCATAATTCAATCAAATCATTTCCTGTTGGTTAACATTTAAACTTTTATGAGAAATATTTTAAACATATTGAATATTAAATAAAATTTAATATTTTAAAAATAATTTCTGATATTTTATCCTTGGTTTTCTGTTTATGTTGAGTTAATTCTTGAATTTAAAAATTCTCATGTCTGATACTGGCAATAAATTGATATTATAATTTGTCTTAATTCTAAACTTTACATTTATATTATAAGTTAATGTACAGTTCAATTTAAAATTTAATTATTAAGTGATCCTTTCATTTTGGTGAAATGTGTTAATATCTGCACGGTAAATGACAAACTACTGTGGTGTATGCATATAGTTTATCATAAAACAGCACCTACACTTCAGAGATTAGATGAGAAAAAAAATTTATAGTTTACAGTATAAGCCTGAATTTCCAGTATTACACTTTGAGAAAAATAGATGGAATGTTCTGAGTGGATTTCAAGAGTATTAAATTGTGGACTTTAAAAAACATCTTTTTATCAGCCAGTGTTACTTGATCTGAAGCAGTTTGCAGTTGAATTATTGCATTTGCAGTTGTTTATTAAATGTTTCACAATGTATTACATTTCATAATTTCATTGATATTAGGTTATTTATGATCAATTTCCTTTTAGACCATAGGTCTTGTGCTGAGACTGGGGTGGAATTAATGAGGCCATATCTTCATGAATTCCTCACATCTGCATATGAAGATTATGACATTGTTATTTGGTGTAAGCTATATCTTTTTTTTATGTCTATAGAAATAAAATGATTTATTAAATTATTCTGTTCTACAATATGTGGCTTCAGATTTCCTGTTTTTAAAATGAAACTTTATTTTGTTAGCGAATGTCTAATAGAAAGCATATATGGCTTTCTTACATCACAATACAAAATTGCCAGATAACACTAAGATAGTTAAGTACAGTCAAGAGTAAATTATGGTAGCATAATAAAAATAGCATTATTTTCTACAGGAGCCCCACCTTGATTAGAGCTTTTTCTTACTTGTCTTTACGGTGAGATTCTTGATGCTTCAGGATATCATTGTTTTCTCCTTTGTTCTTTTGGTTTCAAAAGACGTAGTTTTTTTTTGTTTTTTTGTTTTTTTGTTTTTTTTTTTTTAAAGATGTAGTTATTTATTTGAAAGTCAGAGTTACACAGAGAGAGGAGAGAGAGAGAAGTCCTCCATCCCATGGTTCACTCCCCAATTGGCCGCAATGGCCAGAGCTGCGCCAATCTGAAGCCAGGACCCAGGAGCTTCTTCCGGGTCCCCCATGCGGGTGCAGGGGTCCAAGGACTTGGGCCACCCTCTACTGCTTTTCCAGGCCACAGCAGAGAGCTGGATCAGAAGTGGAGCAGCCGGGTCTTGAACCGGCATCCATATGGGTTGCTGGTGCCCCAGGCAGGGCGTTAACCCACTATACCAGAGCACTGGCCCCAAGATACGGTTTTTAAAAGATGACAGTGGGACCGGCCCCGTGGCTCAATAGGCTAATCCTCTGCCTGCGGCGCCGGCACACCGGGTTCTAGTCCCGGTTGGGGCAATGGATTCTGTCCCAGTTGCCCCTCTTCCAGTCCAGTTCTCTGCTATGCCCCGGGAGTGCAGTGGAGGATGGCCCAAGTCCTTGGGCCCAGCACCCGTAAGGGAGACCAGGAGAAGCACCTGGCTCCTGCCTTTGGATCAGCGCGGTGCGCTGGCCGCAGCGGCCGTTGGGGGGTGAACCAACGGAAGGAAGACCTTTCTCTCTGTCTCTCTCTTACTGTCCACTTTGCCTGTCAAAAAGAAAAAAAAAAAAACAAAAACAAAACAACAATAACAAAAAATCACAGTGATGTAGTTCCCCAGAAATAAAGGTAACATGAAAAATTAGTATATGGACTAAGGCACTGTTGCTTAAATTGTGGATCATTTCAAGAAGGTACAGATTTGTGAAAAGATATTGTTTGCTCCAACAAGAAAATCTGCTGTATCACTAAGTGCACTATATAATTCAATTAATTGACTTCTTTTTTTTAATGGCAAGACTTGGAAGATGCAACAAGGCATTGATTTATAGCCACCTCCTTGCAGACATTTAGAGTTACTTCTTGGCATTGTCTTAAGGAGAGAATTATCCTGATTATGAATTAAATAAAATTCCATCAATTAAATTTAAATGTACTGAGTCTTTGTTGAAAAGCCACATAGTTCTTCAGTCTATAAATTTTCATTGTTCAGTGATAATATGAGTTCATAACTGTTAAAGATTGAAACCATTGTCAAAATATCATGTTTTGTTTTTTGTTGTTGTTGTTGTTGTTGTTGGTTTAGTAAGATAGTAGAAGTGAGCTTCCTGGTAAGCAAATATTTGTTCAGCAACTCTGACCTGAGCTGACATTTGAGAAAAAAAAAATTGTCCTCTAGATGTTTTTAAACTAGACTTAGAAATTTAGAAAGGGGTGGGCATTTGGCCTAACAGTTCAGTCACCACTTAGGTTACCTGCGTCACATACCAGAATGTCTGGGCCTGAGTCTTGACCCTGCTCTTGATTCAAGCTTCCTACTAATGTTCACTCTGGGAGGCATCAGTGATAACTCAAGTGATTGGGCCTGTCATCTATATGGGAGACCCAGATTGAGTTCCTAGCTTCTTGGCATTGGCCCAGCCCAGCCTTGGCTGTTGCAAACATTTAAGGAGTAAACCAGCATGTGGGAAATTTCTGTGTGTCTTATCTCCTCCACTTTTCAAGTAAATTAAATAAATAAAATTTAAAGTAAGAAAATTGAGAAACTTTTGCAAGCAGATATTTAAAGTGATTTATTTCTGTAATTTGGGATATTTTGTAGTAGTAAGTTGAAAAGGGCACTTCAGTTTTGCGCTAAATAGACTAATTTTAATTCTGCCTCTGTCCTACTGTCTTAACAATGGACCTGTCTTCTCATCTTACTGAGCCTTAGTTTCCTCAACTGAGAAAATCAAGGTAACTAAACCTGTGCTACAGGTTTGCTTTAACAATAGAAATACCAGTGTAGCAACTGGCACCAGGTATAACATAGTAATTCAAAACTCTATTAGCTGTCAGTCTTTTGGAGTGGGGGGTAGATTAGACACAAAATAGGTATTGAATTGAAAAAGGAAAAACCTCTATTTCCCTGTCTTGTGACTGTTTTCATTGTAGATATGACTATCTGTACAATTTTGATTAATCCAGCCAATTTTGTGTGCAAAGTGGTTATTTTGATTGCTACAAATCAGGGAATTATTTTACCTTTAAAAAATATACATGCATACTTTAATAATTTAGTCCAGTAACTTGTGACCAGGAAAGGCACAAAAAGATGAGGATTGAATTTTAGTCTTGGTGATCCCCAAACTGATTCGTATCTGATACTGAGCAAATATCTAACATAGGTACACTTTATATTTGCCTCAGATTCCTTTTTATAAGTTGTCGGACTCAATGAGCATTAATTTGTTGAGTCTTACAAAATACAAATTTTCAGTGGACCTACTTTAAAATATATATATTATATATTTGTTTCTATTTATTTGAAAGACAGGGAAACAGACCACAGAGAGATCTTTCGTCTGCTGGTTCCCTCTTCAAGTGCCTGCAAGAGCTGGGGCTGGGCCAGGCCAAAGCTATGAGCCTAGAATTCAATCCAGATCTCCTATGTGGTGACAAAGACCTAAATGTTTAGGCCAACACCTGCTGCCTCCCAAGGTGCATATTAGCAGGGAGCCAGAATCCAAAGCAGAGCTGCAGCTGGAACCCAGGCACTCTCCTGTAGGGTGTTGGCGTCTCAAGCAGTGCCTTAACCTCCATGCCAAACATCCACCCTGGAGTTTAGATCTTAAACATTTCCTGGGTTCAAAGTTCTTTTGTGCATTGACCTACCTGTATTTTATAGATAAAAGTTTAAATTTTATTGTCTTGAAGTTTTACCTTTAAGGTTGTTCTTATATTTTAAAGGAAATTATAAATATGCTAGGTACTGTTATTTGTTATGCATTTAAACTTTGTCTTAGAAAACTTACATTGAAGAAAGTTTTTTTTTAATAAAACTAAACCTTTTCATATGTATTGTATTGTCCCTCATATTGTAGCTGCAACAAATATGAAGTGGATTGAAGCTAAAATGAAAGTAAGTATCAGAAAGCAATCCATTTAAAAATGTTTTGAAGTTGTATTTGTCTTGTTAAAAGTCTGGAACTGAAGTATATATCAGCGTGTGAAGTAAAAGTGTTTTTAAAGACCATTTAATGGTAGATTGTACTGAATGCCTACTGTTTTTCTTCTTTTCAAGAAAATAATTTACCTAAGCTCCTGTTCCCTCCTCTCCTCATTTTACAATAATGCTGTCTTTTCCTTCTTTTACTCTGGTGTGTAATACTCAAAGAGATGCTTTCTATTGTAAGGTGGTGAATTAGGAGATAATCTCCTTTTAGTTTATTTTCCTATCACTATTTATTGATTTAACTAAGTGAAACTATTGCTAGTTGTTAATTAGCAAGATATGGCAGCCATTGAGTAGAAAATTTTTATTATGGGAAACTGAAGCTACTATTCTGAAAGTCTTGAATTTTCTACATTATTATATTTTAACCTGGCAGTTTTTGTTTTTGTTTTTTTATCTAGGAGCTAGGAGTGAGCACAAATGCAAATTATAAGATTACCTTCATGTTGGACAGTGCTGCTATGATAACAGTGCATACTCCCAGGAGAGGATTAATAGATGTAAGAAATTATTTTACTTCTATTTAAATAAGTACTAATTTTCTAGTTTGCATTTTATACTAATACTGATGAAATAAACTACAGAAAGATTTAGAAATGCATACAAGTTTTGGCTTAGGAAAATGTATTTAAGGGTAAAAGGTACTCATTTTAATGATCTTTAAGTAAGGATCTTAAAGCAGAGCTGTCCAGAGTGGATCTTGTAGTTATGGATAATTGTCCTGTGATGATGACAGCATTGTTTTGCTGAGCAGAGTTAGGAGAAACAAATACTGAATGTCATCAAGGAAGATAGGAAAATGCTTCAGAACATTTGTGGAAAATGGAACTAAAATGCACATTTTCCATGCACATTTTGAAACCAGCCAAAACAGTCTCAGCCTGCCTTATATGAAATCGGTAATAAATCAAAAGTATCATGATGTATATACTTTGGAGAGACATATTCTCCCTTACAGAATAGCAATGGGAACCATCAGAGAAGAAGATTGGACTGATAGACTAGGTTTTGCTCATCAAGTAACTACTTATTGTAGATATTTGTCTGTAGGCTCCTCTGATATGCGCTGTTGGAAATAAAGGGATGAGTAAAACATGGTTTATTCCTTTTGAAAACACACAGACCAGTAAGAATTGGGGAGGACTTAGGGTACACCATGAAAGGTTTGGGAACATAGTATTAAAATAATCAAAATCACAAATACAGTGGTTTAAATATGTAAGGACTTACTCAATACTGTATGCCTACATCAGGGGAAAAATATAACCCTTTACCCTCTAAAGTAATCTAATACATTTGAAAAGTCTAAATGTTAAAAAGATGTTTGGGAAATGTCAAACATAGCATTGTTTACAATGGTGAAAAATTAAAAGAATAAAAATAATCCTTAGTGTCTAACAATAGATAATTAGATATGTAAGTTGTTTTTCATATAATAGAATGCAGCTATCATTTATTGTGTTAGACTGATTTTTAAATGTTCATGACACATTAGAGCTTAAGAGGTAGAGAGCAGTGTTTGCAAGGTGTTAGAAGATAGTTTGTAAATTTTGTTTGGATCAGGATTTCCTTTATCAAAAGATCTGTAAACTCTATAAAGCTACTGCTATTTATAAAAAAGCCTGGCAGTAAATATAGCAGAGTGTCTAGTTTTCATTCTTGGTACTAAACAGATTATAGATGATTTAAAATTTTCCTTTGTGCTTTTCTGTCTTTTCAAATATTCCTATCAATATTCTTCTTCTGTTTATGAGAAAAAGTAATTCTCAACCTAATGACTAAATCATAGCCCATTTAAGAGGATGTAACTTTAATGACTCTGGGTGTCATAAAGAATGACCTCTGTTGTATTTCTTGAGGCTTTTGCTAGCTTAAAAAACCAATAATCTGGTTGATTGTGGTAGTTCCTAAATATTTGTCTTTAGGTATGTAGGAAGTTTGGTTCAGTAGTAATCAAAAAGTGAAAAAAATTCTGGTAAATAAAATATAGTAAAATTAAAAATATGTGCGTTACATTCTTTGCAGTAAATAGGACATTAGGAAGGAAAAAGCTTTCCTCATTTCAAAGTAAAATATAAAACAAGAAAAAACATTTTTAAGTGACTACCTTTGTCACCATTTACTTACAACCATGTGATCTGATGCAGTTGTTATTGTCATGTCATCTTATGTAACTCTTAGATTTCTACCTACAGGAAAATAATTTTCTTTGGAAAATTTATTTTAAAAAATTCTGAATGTGTAATACATTCATATAACTCAAACATAACAATAAAGTATGTTATGAAAAATTGTCCTCCCTCTGGCTTCTCTGACCATTCTAACATAAGCAGTTGAATGCCCTAGAAATGATGTACCTGTAATTGAATTGTAGACAAAAATAATCTTTTCTGTAAAAAATATTAAATGATCAACTAAAAGTGCCAGGTACATTTTCCCTCTCTCAGTTGTTCTAGTTTTGAAAATAGACTTCATGTGACTCTTAAACTCAGAGAGGGTGTACATTAGTCCAGGAAGTCATGTGGGTGCTTGGAAGTCATCTGAACAATTACTTTAGATCCTTTTGAAATTAAGTAACTACTGTTCTTGTGACCCAGAATCCACATGTTAAAATGGTTTTAATTCATTTAGATGTAAATAGACCTTTCCGGAAGCTTCAATATTGTAAGATAACAGCACATTTTTAAAGGGTGTTGCATTTGACAGCTGCCACAGCCAGCCATCACTGTCCTACAGGAGAAAGCACTCTAGCATTGCTCTGTAGGGTACTATAGTGTCTCTACTTTTAACTACCTGGTGTAATTGGAGTGAAATCTAAACTTCCATTCTAAGGTAAAGCCTCTTGGTGTTATATGGGGAAAGTTTTCGGAATTTTACAGCAAGAAAAATACCATTATGTTTGATGACATAGGAAGAAATTTTCTGATGAACCCACAGAATGGACTAAAGGTAAGACATAATTTTACTTATTGTATGTTCATGTAGTCTGGCTAAGTGGTAGAACTTTAAGCACTACTGGATTTTGTAAATTTTCACAAGTGCAATCATTGTGCTTCAAAATAACATTCCTGTCATCAAAAGATTGTGTATATATAATAGTGATCCTATAAGATTATAATGGAATTGGAAATTTCCTATTGCTTAGCTGTTTTATTGTATATTATCTTTGTGTACAAACACAAATACTTAAAACCATTGTGTTATAGTTGCCTACAGTATTCAGAACAGTAATATATTGTAGGGGTTTGTATCTTAGGAGCAACAGGTTATACTGTATAGCCTAGTTGTATGGTAGTACACTCTGACGTTTGTATACTGACGAACTCAGCCAACACCTCATTTTTCAGAATGTTTCCCTTTTAGGCATTACATGACTGTCCTGTATAATTATGGTTATAGACAAGAAAAGTTTTAAGTATTTAGAAAAATTTACATTGAACATTTCGTCTTTTGCATTGATATCTCCTTGGTTAGCTAACTCATCCAAGTGTTTTAATCATTTATTTTAAAGATTTTATTTATTTGAGAGGTAGAGTTACAGACAGTGAGAGGAAGAGACAAAGAGAAGTCTTCCATCTGCTGTTTCACTCCCCAAATGGCCACAACAGCTGGAGCTGGACCAGTCCTAAGCCAGGAGCCAGGAGCTTCTGGGTGCAGGGGCCCAAATGCTTGGGCCATCTTCCACTGCTTTCCTAGGCCATAGCAAAGAGTTGGATTGGAAAAGGAGCAGCCGGGACTTGAACCAGAGTCCCTATGGGATGCCGGCACCATGGGCAGAGGATTAACACACTTCACCAGAACGCTGGACCCCAAGTGTTTTATATTTTTAATTAGCTCTGAAGGAGTAGCATGGACTTACTTGTAGTAACTTTTAGCATCAAAAGTGAAATCATCAACATTTTATTAGGGATCAAATCTTGAAATTTTTGATGTCCTGTTTAGCTGGACAGTTTGCAGTAAGGTTACTCTTAATATTTTCCTTTTTAAAATGAAACTAGAGGTTTTTCAAATTCTTAAGGGGAAATGCAGACTTTAGAATTATAAAATGCTAGAGCTAGAAGGAACTACAATCATCTTGTCTGCATTCTTAATTTTAGAAACTGAGGATGAGAAAGTTCATGTTTTGTCCAAGATGATGTATGTAATTGCCTCATCACAGTTAGGGTTAGAATTTAGGTCAGTGATGATCTGAGCATGCAGTCACATGCAATCTTGTGTACGTGTGATAGTGACATTTACTCCAGGTAGCAGTATAAAACTGTTAAGAGAAATTTGTAACCTAAACATTTCTGGTTCCTGTGTTTGCTTAAAAGTTGGCGTTTTATGAAAATGGAAAAGATAACTTTATGTTTTGATAATAATGTGCATGGAATCTCCATTTGATGTGGAAATCCTAACAATGAAGATATTTTCATACTCAGGTACTTTTCTGCCAACTTAGGTTCTTTGCAGTTTTTTAAAAGACAAGAGAAGAGCTTGAAGAAAGTATGAATTTGAAGTCTTTCTCAGAGGATTAATTTAGGTTTGGTGAACAATGAAGATAGTTTAAGAAAAGAATGCTAATGTGAGCAGTGAATTGCCCTAATTATAGAAGCTGCTGTTGACTTTGAAGAAAAGCAGCTGTATGATCTGAAGAAAATGGCTTTTGTTTGTGACTTAGGCAGAAGTGCTTCTCCTGTATATATTTCACCAAGTATTTGGTACAGAAATATATTCTTGATTCTTGAAAAGAGACTTGATTGATGTAAACCTAATTTTCTGTGAAACTTACGGTTATTACCTATTCTTGCAGGGAAGTAAGGTCATGATGTTCAAGGAAAAATTTTTGAAGAGACTTATTTAGCATTTATAAAAAATAAAAACCATTAGTTTGATGTGTGTTTGGAAGAAATTTTATTTTTATTTTCCTTAGTGACATCTTTTTATGCAGGAAGAGATGATTTTCTACACTTCAGGTTTTTTTAAATTAGGATACTCATTAGACTCATTACAGGAATTCCTATAAACCCATATGCCTCCACCTATCTTCAGCCCCCTCAATCTTAGTTCAGGAAGTATTTTTTCAAGCATTCCATACATGATTTCTTACATGCCTGCTTTGAGGAACTTCTTTTAAGTTAACTATTAATGATTTATTGACACTGACATAGAAACAGTTCTGAAATTGAGGATTCTTACATTCTCTTTTTTGTTTCATAGTTTATAATTTGCTTGATAGAAAATTCCAAATATTTCATGCACATCTTACAAGACTGCTTATTTTTAAAATCACTAACCTAATAATATAAGCTTTCTAGTCTCAAGGTATAAGGCATTTTGAATATAATATATAATATTGAATTAACAGAATGTGAATATTAATCACAGATAAGGCAATTGATATTCTAAAAACTTCATATATATTATCTATGCAATGAAATCATAAGAGAATTGAGCTAGTCTAGAAAAACCTTAGGTTCCTAAAAATGTTGCTTAGATCATGAGACAGCAAAGTTATCATATATGTTACCTGCCCTGCTGAAGATCAATTTTGGAAAATAGTATAGTAAACAATGATTATAGTGGATCAAGTGAAGTCAGTTAGGTGAATGATATATTTTTTGCCCTTATTTTATTTTAACTTTTGGAAACAGCCATTAAAGCAATTTAGTTTGTTTAGTAGTGCTTAAGACCAAATGTTTAGAAAGCAAAAACTTAGCAGGAGCTTGTTTTGAAAATCTTAGCAGCCACAGACCCTGTACTTTCTCTTTCAGTTCTTAACCTCTTCCTGCTGTTTACACTTGGAATCACTTTGGCACATTGTATATTACTAGTTTAAAAGTTAATATGTTGCCTTTACATCCTTTAGGAGTTGACTGAAGGAATAGTTTAAACACCACCACATGATTCAGGATTGTGTAGGAATTCCTTTATTCCTTCTGACACATCATATCATTTTCTCTGCTCACTCCCAGCTGCAGGACTTAGATAAGGTCCAGTTCAGAATCTTCTAGATCCCTATACTCACTGCTGATGCTGTGAGATAGAACTCCCTATGCTTCCATGATGGCAGTGGGCTCTTCCACAAATGCTGGCTTCTGGGCCCTCTCAGACAGCTCTTACTGGTGCCTTTAAGACAGCATTGAAGGGGCTGGTGCCATGGCTCACTTGATTAATCCTCTGCCTGCGACGCCGGCATCCCATATGGGCACCAGGTTCTAGTCCCGGTTGCTCCTCTTCAAGTCCAGCTCTCTACTTTGGCCTGGGAAGGCTGTGGAGGATGGCCCAAGTGCTTGGGCCCCTGCACCCACATGGGAGACCAGGAGAAAGCGCCTGGCTCCTGGCTCTGGATGGGCGCAGCGCGCCAGCTGTAGCGGCCATTTGGGAGGTGAACCAATGGAAGGAAGACCTTTCTCTCTCTCTCTTTCTCTCTCTCTCACTGTCTAACTCTGCCTATCTAATAATAATAATAATAAAAGACAGCATTGAAACCCCATTAACTGCTATTGAATTGTCTGCTACCAAGCTGTCTGATAAGTAGAACATTTGGGAAATTTTTCTTCTATCCAGTTCAAGCTGGTGATGTATTTTTTACAATGATGGCAGAAAACTACATATATATATATATATATATATATATATATAAATTAAATCATTTTCCAAATCCAACTTCTTAGAGATGCATATTCTGGGAGATAGCAAGTGATGGCTGAAGTATTTGGGTCCCTGCCACCCACATGAGAGACCTAGATTGAGTTCCAGCTCTTGGCTGTAACATGGCGCAGCCCTGGCTGCTGTGAGCATTTGGGGTGTAAACCAGCAGATGGACGCTCTCTCTGTCTCTGTCTCTGCCTTTCAAGCACAATGGAAAAAAATGATTTTTTAGAAAAGGAAAAATAGTAAAAATGTAAATATAGGGGCCGGTGCTGTGGTATAATGGATAACGCCGCCGCCTGCAGTGCAGACATCCCATAAGGGTGCTGGTTTGTGTCTCGGCTGCTCCACTTCCAATCCAGCTCTTCTGCTGTGGCCAAAGCAGTGTAAGATGGCCCAAGTCCTTGGGCCCCTGCACCCTTGTGGGAAGACCCGGAGGAAGCTCCTTGCTCTAGCTTCGCATCGGCATATCTCTGGCCTTAGCGGCCAACTGAGGAGTGAACCAGTGGATGGAAGACCTCTTTTTCTCTCTGTGTCTCTCCTTTGCTCTCTGTGTAATTTCAAGTAAATAATTTTTTTTTAAAATGTAAATATAGTGGAACTACTTAGAATTGTATAACCCCATATATGTGGTTTAAACAGTTACATATCATGGACAGTTATATTTACTCTATGCCCTTTCAATTTCTCACTCCTTAGTATTTTGAAGCAAATCCCAGACATATCATTTTATCTAAAATTAATTAAAATGTTTTAGAACACTATTTTGAGTTGTATAAAAACATTTGAGCTGATATAATTTTAAAAAGGTGAAACTATTGGAACTATAACATAAAGAAAATTATATAAAATTTATATTTTAACACATTTCAGTAAAAATAGCATCCAAATCAAGATTTAATATCCCATCCTAATTGCAATTCCCCCATCCTATCTACCGTGCTGACTTACAGTTTGAATTATTAATTTTTAAATGAATGCCTTTCACCCTAAAATATATCAACCTTAAACACAGGGAAATATGACTGTTCTTTGTATTGGAAACTCTTGTATAATTAAAAATGATTTTAATGGAGATTTAATGATAAAAATGCTTATGATAAAGTATTGCAGAAATTTTTTATATAAATGTATAATGGTAGCTACATAAACATTTTATTTGAAGTAAAAATCATTAGTGTTAAAATTTGTCTCACTCTGGTTAAGTGAAGCTAGTATTTGGGTTTAAATTTTACGAATGAAATAACATGAATAAACTTAATTAGAAGCAGCCAGAATGATAGAAAGGGACAAAGTCTAAGCAGAAGCATTTGCAATCTAAGCAGAAACATTTGCACAGTCACAAAGGGGTTCTGATTGAAGAGATGTTGGGGCAAAACAGGTAGAAGAGCTTTTAATTTATACTGTAAATATTATGACTTTCTAGTTATTAAATATAGGCTTATATGAAAAATAATTTTTAGTATCAATGTCCCTGGTGATATTTTAACCTCATTAATTTTAATTTAAATTATAGAATGGTGTGGATTTGTATTAATTTTTCTTATCTCAGTGTGAAATTTTATATCTTAATAGATAAGGCCCTTTATGAAAGCACACCTAAATCGAGATAAAGACAAAGAACTTTTAAAATTAACTCAGTACCTCAAGGAAATAGCAAAATTAGATGACTTTTTGGAGTTAAATCACAAATATTGGGAAAGGTAAGTGCTAATTGTTTTTTCATTTTCTCTTTACCTTAACAAATGAAAAAATTGGGGATCCTATTATAGGTATTTAAGTCAGTTTTTATTTAACTTGGATTAATTCTAAAAATATTTTCTAACACAGAGCCTTCTTAAATTATTTTCCTCTTTGGTCTTAAACTATAACTTGCTCATAACCTACATGTTGTTACCTCGTTAGTACTTAATAGTAAAGAGGACTTCAGAGACTTGTGCATGTTTGTGGTACTACCTGAAATTATTTTCTAAGTAGACCACTGCTTTATGAATCACATCGAGGTTTGATCCCTGTTGTTATACTGTCAAAATTAAATGTATGAAAAAATTGGCTGAATAGTGTTAAGAATTACAAGTAGGGGCTGGCGCTGTGGCATACTGGGGAAAGCCCTTGTCTGCAGTGCCAGCATCCCGCCGTATGGGTGCCAGTTCTAGTCCCAGCTGCTCCTCTTCTGATCCAGCTCTCTGCTATGGCCTGGGAAAGCAGTAGAAGGTGGTCCAAGTCCTTGGGCCCCTGCACCCACGTGGGAGACTCGGAAGAAGCTCCTGGTTCTTGGCTTCAGATTGACCCAGCTGTGACCGTTATGGCCATTTGGGGAGTGGGTCAGTGGATGGAGGACCTCTCTCTCTGCTCTCTCTTTCTCTGCCTCTACCTCTTCTGTAACTCTGCCTTTCAAATAAATAAAACTTTAAAAAAAATTACAAGTAACTTCTTGTGTAGCAGAAAAATTAGAGCACTTTATTCACTGAAACAACAGTTAGTCCTGGTTTTCCTTTTCAAAGATAACCACCATTTCCATGTTGCTATATCATCTTCCAGTCTTTTCTAATAAGAAGTGTGTACACACCTAGATATAGATTGCATATAAACAAGATTTTGAGACAGGGAACAACATCTGGAAGGTGGAAGGGATTATTATGTACAACTAATTTTTTTAATTAGATCTTTAAAGAGAAACTGTGTAATACTCGAAGTACTTGGGCTTTTCAAATTCTGCTTTTGACTTTCTGGATCATTTTGACACATAGATTCTTATTAATGAGTCTTATAATCCTTTTAGGAAGATTAAGCAGGCATGTTTTTTAATCCCCATCTTCAGATTGTAGGTGATATGACTGAATTACAGAGATAATAAATGCTTAGCACAGTGCTATAAAATGAGCAAATTGCACCCACCATCAAAGTCACCCAAGTTTCCTGATTTTGAAAACTCTTTCCCCAGCCATACCACCAATTATAGTAGCTCGTAAAAATGTGAGAAATAGAGATACAAAATTTTTAATTTAATGGTAGATTCCTATTTAAACAACATGAAGAAGTTGCTTACTTCATAAATCAACATCTTTGCAACTTTATACTCTTGATCAGGTCATTTAGCATCTTTGGCCAAACATCTATATTCAAGAAACATGAGAATCTTTAAATGGAGTCTGAATTATTTTTAGAATGCTAGTTAATCTATCAACTTTCACATTTAGAAGAAAGGCAGGAGGAGTGATGGTTAATAATAAGAGTTTCCTTTGGAGTCTTGTTTTGAGCCTGAATTCTGCCACTTTCTAGCTGTATGAATTTGGAAAAATTTGCTTAACCTCTTTGTGCCTGTGAAATAGGGGTACTGTCTAATAGAAACTCCTCATAGAGTTGTTGTGAGGGTTCAGTGAATTAATACATGTATGTAGAACAGTACTTAGCACAGAAACAATCAGCACATGTTAGCAGTTATTAATACTTTATATTCATCTTGGAAAGTTTGTCATTAAAATAAACTCTGAGGAAGAAGGATTTTTTCATGAATTTAGCATAAGACAGTTTTGATATCTTTATTTTATTTCTTGCAGGTATCTCTCAAAGAAGCAAGGACAATAGTTAGAAGTTATGCTGATAGTTATTGAAGATACTTGAGATCCATGAACTTTCTGCTTTTACGCTAGAAATCATTATAATAGTGCTGGACACTGAAGCAAAGAACAGACTGCTTATACTTGGTCTTCCAGTTTTTTGTAAATTTAATTTTATATTTTTTGAAGATCATAGCAATATGCTCAAAAAAAATTCCTTTTACCCCATGTGAATATACCGTTACTGTTAAAAAAAGATTTTCTCCAGCATTGATTACTCACTGTTTTTTTTTGTTTGTTTGTTTTGTTTTTCCAGAAAGAAGAGTGGAGAAAAATGTATGCTCAATGTCATTTTGTGACACAAAAACCATTTTGTGTTTTTGTCTCATTCTCTAAGACCAAATCCATCTAATGCTTTTCCCTTTAAAACCAAAAGAAAAAAATTTTTGGATAAAGAACATAGTTTGTTATGCTTAAAATTACCAAGAATTTTTTATTCCTTTGTCATGGCCTCAACTTCTGTACCACACTGGTTGCATCTCTAAATCCTGAGCTGCGTCACTTAGGTCTGTGTGTGCATCTGTGTACTTAAAGTAAAACTGGAAAGCATTAGTTGCAGTACAGCTGTGTTCTAGTATGAGAAATAGAAAACCTAAGGCTAAGGAATAAAACTAAAGCACCGGAATATGTGTGTCTTTGATAGCTAAGTACAAGCACTTCTGCCTAAACCATTGCCATAAAAGCATTTAAAGGCAGTAAATTTTAAAATGGGACAAACCACCAGTTCTAGCAAGCATGAACAAAAAGGTTTTGTTCTGTCGAGTTATATCTTGTCTGAGTGCCAATACAGTTTCAGTGAAAATATCTAGCCATACTATTAAAAAATATATATTATTTGCAATGCTTAAGCCTGCAGATATGTAATGTGACCACTGTTTTGTGTTAACAGTATTGCTTTATACAATTCCTGTATTTGAAAGGAATTGATTCTTTTAAATAAACATGGTGTATATTGTTCTTTTGGGACTATTTCAGTGGTGTAAATAATAAATATTGTTTCTTAAAACACTGGCTCTTGGTTCTGTATTACTCCAAATATTTTGCCTCTTTGTTGAATTATGAAACAAATATTTTCATTCAAGGACCTCTTGAAAAATTAAAGGGTATAGTGTTCAGTGCACTCACAGTTGGATTTAGCAAATAATTAGATGTAAACTATTTAATTCTGATAAATACTGAATTTTCATAAGTATGTATTATTGTGATAGATTAGGTATACAGTAGAAGCATTTGAGAACCCTTAAGTAATGAAAATAACTAAGATGTATTTCTTAATTATGAGACTAAATTCAAATATTTAAGGATAGAATTTTTAAGGTATTGATTGATTAATTGATTTCTTTAAAGCCAAAAAGGGAGACAAAGATCTCCCATCCATTGGTTCATATGGCAACAACAGCCTCACTTGGGCTTAGCCAGGTGAAAACCAGAAGCAGAGAACTGCATCTGGGTTTCTCAGATAAGTGGCAGGGACTCAACTTCTTGAGCCATCACGTTTGCCTCCCATTGTGTACATTATCAAGAAGCAGAAATTGGGAGCAGAGGTGGGACTCAAATCTAGACACTTTGCTTTCTGATACAGGATGTGGGAGTCCCAAGCAGAGTTGTAACTACTAAGCCAAGCACTTGCCCCTACTGTATTTCGTTTTATTGGTTCTTTTCCCACCGTAAAAAGTGTATTCCAAAGGAGATGTGGAGGAGAATTATTTTTGAGAAAACTGAGCACTCAAAAGTAAATTATTAGCATTGGTCAAGAAAGAGCAGACATTTTCTAAATCAGTATAAGCTTAAATACAAGAATTAAGCATTCCCCAGGAAGCAAAGTAGGATTTTAAAAAATATTTTCTGCCATTAGGTGGTGCCCAAACCAAAGCCTATTATCCAAGATGTTTAATTAAGCCACTTGGGGAGAACACTGTCCTTTTTTTGAGATCTCATGTGTGATTAATTCCTTCATGGATACAGAGTTTCAATAAGCCATCTCAAAGCTTATTGAACAAAGAATTTAATCTAGATGAGTATTTAGGTGAAGCCACTAGTTTTTTTTATTGTACATGTGCTTCAAACTTTAAAACAATTATCTAATGATGTATGAGTTTATTTAGTCTAAAATTGCAGACCATCCTTAAATCTTTGATTGAAAGGACAGTTTGAGATCTTCTAGCCACTTAGGTCCTTGTTACAGGCGCCGTGGCTCATTTGGCTAATCCTCCACCTGTGACACCGGCATCTCATATGGGTGCCGGGTTGTAGTCCTGGTTGCTCTTCCAGACCAGTTCTCTGCTGTGGCCTGGGATGGCAGAGGAGGATGGCCCAAGTGCTTGGGCGCCTGCACCCACGTGGGAGACCAGGAAGAAGCTCCTGGCTTTGGATTGGCGTAGCTCCGGCCGTAGTGGCCATTTGGGGGTGAACCAACGGAAGGAAGACCTTTATCTTTGTGTCTCTCTTTCATTGTCTAACTCTATCTGTCAAAAAAAATTAATTACTGGTCTAATGTTACCTGTAACAGCTATTCAGTTTAGTGGGCCAAGAGTAAATAGATTGCTACAGTAAGCAACTGAAACACATGCTATTCATTTGTGGAAAATAAAGTGGTCTTTTGGCAGGGAAGAGGCTTAGCTGTACAGATATGGTAACTGGGAAAAACATGCAAAAAATTACTTAAGTTGGTAAATTAGAATTGGCTCTTATGAATAGTAATAAAAATGAATAAACTTACTGAGGATTTTTTCTCATCCCAAGTAATCAACAAAAGTCTCTCAAGGGATAAATTGTTATAATTTCCACCGAAGTATTTATACACCAAAAATAATATTATTATTAGCTGGAATAGGAGCCCAAGAGAAGTCTCTGAAGAGTAAGTGGTTAGCTATTTATGTAAGGATCTAAATTTTGAAATTGCTTTGGGGAAGCTTTCTTGGTGTTGGGAGTGCTGAGTATTTAGAACTTGAGAAATCTTTGGAGATTTTGTCTTATAAATGTGTTATAGGCATCCCAGGTATTTGTACATTATAGAATGAGAACAAATACCAGGCATCCTGTGGGGCTCAAAGAGGGCACAAATTATTTAATGTCAATGAGGGACCATGTAGAATGTGAAATTTTTTAAAAAAGCTTCCACATAAATAATTATTTTTCAACTCTACGGAAGAAAGCAAGCACATCTTAAATGCTAGTATAAAGCAATTTCCCAATATAAATTGCTTATTAAAATGATTTCATTCTGAAAAGCTTTCGAAGTTGAATGTATAAATTTTAAGACCATTTAAAAACAGTAGGAATACACACAAATGTCAATGAAGATTGCTAAGAATCAGTGAGATTTCCATAAGTCAAATGGCCACATTGAGCAGAAGTTATATTGTCTGTGTGTTCTGTCATACTAAAGGCCAATATGTATCAGTAATACAGAGATTATTATGTGCGGTAAACAATGTCTAAGTGAATAAAAATCACTCTTAATTCCTATTCCCAGTTGTTGAATCCCTGACCACTTTTGATTGCTAGCACTTCTTGTTGGAAAATCTGTAAAGAGAACTGCTATGGTTTTTCAAATAGGATTTTAAATGGAGAGAACAAGTGATCTGTCAGAGAAAGAAAAAAGAAAAAGCACTTGGTTGGAATCTTCCTTTGCTAGCTATTGGACCTCAGGTAAGTCATTTCAACCCTGAACTTCTGCTTTCTACTCCTTAATAAAGCAATAAAGCAAATGTACTTGGTCTGCCTTTCCTACAGGCTGCTGCAAAGGTCTAATGCAAAATCATGCTTAAGTACTTTAAAGCAGCAAGGGCTAATGTACATATCACATGTTTTTGTTTTTGTTTTTTGACAAGAGTGGACAGTGAGAGAGAGAGACAGAGAAAGGTCTTCCTTTTGCCGTTGGTTCACCCTCCAATGGCCGCCACGGCCGGCGTGCAGCGGCCGGCACATCACGCTGATCCAAAGCTAGGAGCCAGGTACTTATCCTGGTCTCCCATGGGGTGCAGGGCCCAAGCACTTGGGCCATCCTCCACTGCACTCCCTGGCCATAGCAGAGGGCTGCCCTGGAAGAGGGGCAACCGGGACAGAATCTGGCGCCCCGACTGGTGCTGTATTAGAATACATCTTGCATAGTGGAATGATATATTTTAATCATCTAACTTTGGAAACCAGCTGTTCACAGATGAAGGCTTGCTAGCTTTGCCATGCAATGTGAAAAAAAAAAAAAAAATCCAAAGGCTGGTGTTAGGGCACAACAGGTTAAGATACCACCTGAAACACTGGATCCCCATATGGGTACCAGTTCTAGTCCCAGCTGTTCCACTTCCGATCCAGCTCCCTGCTCATGTGCCTGGGAAAGCAGTGGAAGATGGTCCAAGTGTTTAGGTCCCTGCCACCCATATGGGAGACCCAGCTGGAGTTCTAGGCTCCTGGCTTCAGTCTTGTGTTGCCCCATTCATTGTAGGCATTTGGAGAATGAAACAGTGGTTGGAAGATCTCTCCCTCTCTCTGACTCTCCCTCTGTTCTGTAACTTTAAGTTAATTTAAAATGTCTTTTAAAAAAATCACCCAAATTTCACCTTACCCCCATTAGGATGGCTTTCATACAGAAACTAACTAACAGTAAATGCTGGCAAGGATGGAGGGAGAAGCTACCCTAATCCACTTGTTGGTGGGAATGTAAACTGGTACAGCCACTATGAAAGACAGTGCGGAGATACCTCAGAAATCTGAATATATTCCTACCATATGACCCAGCCATCTCAATCCTGGGAATTTATCCAAGGGAAATGAAGTCAGCATATGAAAGAGTTATCTGTATCCCCATGTTCACTGAAGCTCAGTTCACAATAGCTAAGACATGGAATCAACACAAATGCCTGTCAACTGAAGATTGGATAAAGAAATTATGGGATATGTACACTATGGAATACTTACACAGCAGTAAAAAACAAAAACAAAAACAAAAAATCCGGTCATTCATTACAAAATGGATGAAATGGGAAAACATCATTCTTAGTGAAATAAGCCATTCCCCAAAGGGACAAATATCCCATGTTCTCCCTAACCTGTGATAACTAGTAGAGCCCCTAAAAGCCAATCTGTGAAGTGGAATTGATACTTTGAGAAGCAATGACTTTGAACAGCCCTTGTCTTGACTGTTGAGGAACAGGTTTGTTTTTTTTTTTTTCCATACTATTTGTTGGACTCTTTGCTTAACATAGAATCAGTCTTATGTTTATAAAGTTAACTGAAAATAGATCTTAGTAAAAAAAAAATAAGAGTAGGAATAAGAGAGCAAGGAGGAAGAGGGGTGGGAGAGTGGGTGGGAGGGCAGGTACGGTGGGAAGAATAACCATGTCCCTAAAGTTATAATTATGAAATATATGAAGTTTGTATTCTTTTTTTTTTTTTAATTTTTTTGACAGGCAGAGTGGACAGTGAGAGAGAGAGACAGAGAGAAAGGTCTTCCTTTGCCGTTGGTTCACCCTCCAATGGCCGCCACGGCCAGCACACCGCACTGATCCGATGACAGGAGCCAGGTACTTATCCTGGTCTCCCATGGGGTGCAGGGCCTAAGCACTTGGGCCATCCTCCACTGCACTCTCTGGCCACAGCAGAGAGCTGGCCTGGAAGAGGGGCAACCGGGACAGAATCCGGTGCCCCGACGGGGACTAGAACCCGGTGTGCCGGCGTCGCAAGGCGGAGGATTAGCCTAGTGAGCCGCGGCGCCGGCCGAAGTTTGTATTCTTTAAATAAAAGGTTTCTTGGGGGAAAAATCATCCAGAAGCAATGACTTTTTGTTGTCATTGTTTAATTTTTTTGTGTGAAGATGTAATAAGGTAAAGAGTAGGGGGTTTTCCCTGAAATATTTTGCAAAATGAGCTACAAAGAAATCAACATTTAATGTATTTGTTAGTGCCTTTTATGTCTGAGGTACCGCTCTTTTTTAAGGGTTTATTTAAGTATTTATCTAGAAAGGAGAGAACCAGATGGAGATCGAGAGATCTCTTCCATCTGCTGATT